AAACACGCCATTTAAATTTACAAAAATAGAGAATTACCTTGATAAAACTTCATACTTAGGGGCCACGATTATTGGGCTACGTGCACGTACTTCTAGGATAGTAGTTTATAGAGATTATTCAACTTACAAACAGTATGTTCTGCATGGCATGGCATGGCTGTGCAGCAGCCGACGCAATGGGTCTACTTCTTTGAAGGCCTGATTCTTCATCTGTTTGAATATTTGTAGCCACATGGAATGGCGAAGAGGGCAGTGGAGAGGAAGCGATTTATTCAAACACAGCTTATAAAGCAATCGGTTCTCTGTACAGAGCCAGACGCATAAACCTGAGTGATCCAATGCACACGCGACTAACCTTTTCACGCAGTACTTATAATGATAGGATAAATCCGTGTACGTCTACGCAAAGTTAACATGCTCACACACAGACGTATAATAGCCGATTTCAGACATCTGAATTTTAAACATTTGCTAGTGGTTACTCTACTGTTGTCACTTACGCACTTGTGCATTACGATCGCTGACCAACGTTTGTTGAATGAGTACACGAAAGTACTGGTCAGGTCAGGTAGCTAAGTATACCAGGAAGCTCGAAGACAGTTGCCACCCATGTTTTCACGGTTGAAATGATAATTTCGAGATGTACGAATGTAAAAATGTAGAAGCGGTTGATGATGACTGAGAGATAACCATCAGAAACGATAGGAACGTTTCATGTGGCAATGATGTGACAAGAAAGATGGGCTTGTGAAGTAATAGCTCTTTACCATGGTACATAGTGGGATGCGAAGAGCAGACGAATTATTGAATTATGACGAATAATTGGCATACCTGAGATCATGATTATCATATCTTGAGATCAGTTCGGTTAACTTGCTTTTTGGCAAGGAACCGGCATCATTTAAAAAACAGCTGTCATCTAGCCACCGTTAAGAAATAGAAAGTTGTGAAAGTCAAATAGGCAATGATACTTCTATATTGAATATGCATAAATGATGAAAATAACATGTCCCTGTAAAGCTATAAAACTGGCTCTCGGCATTCGAAGTCTGGTTGCTTAATTTTTTTAGCTGTTAAATGAGGGTGGAGATCATGTTGCATTTTAATTTTAATTATGCCATTGCACGAAGCTACGATCAAAATAGTTTTTAAATGCTATGCAAGTAGTTACCATCTGGCAAAATAATGTACCTCGTATCAAAACCACGCGGTACTCGGTCTTGTTAGTGAATCAGTGAAAGTTATCAGCTTATTCAACTTACACTGCTATTAGCATATTTGAGAATTCGCTGCCATTGGCACATTGCTGAATGCACAAAGGTTATGAAAATATATACAGTTCCGCTTTCAGACGTGTATCTCATCGCGTGATCGCAATACGTTTGATTTATTGGGAGGAATGGTGAGGAATAATTGAGCAACGAGGGTAATTCAGCATTTTTGTCACTTATGAACAAACGCGGCTTCAGGAAGCTGACAATGACATCACCGAGATCGCCATGCTGTTATGACACTTAAAAGAGTACAGTGCATGAAGGGATATCGCTCGTCGATGTTGTTCTCTGCTGACCGAGCATTCACTGAAGAAACAATCGGATATGTCAGACGTCGTGGGATCATTGATTTGATAGCCTGTTTCCTGTTTCAGTCAGTCGATGTTCCGCGGTTAAATATCACGCCAGTTTCATAGTCAGTATATAATGGTGTGTGCGCTCGCGTCAGAGAAGCATCACAAAGCGATGAAAATGTGCCCCCGGAAAACTGTTGGTTGGCAGCGAATAAAAAAACAGCAACGGTACGAAAAATTAATTCTCGTTTTGTAGCAGCCGACAGAGTTGCCGACTGTCTCGCCAGTTGATGCAGAGGTAAGGATCAAATCAATGCCGATTTTGCATTTCTAATTAGTAAAAAATCATCTACCGTCACATTTGCTTGCAGAGAATAAACAGCCTGTAGAATCACCGCTCTCTGTCTACGATAAACAAACATCCACATGCTCCTCTGCCAATCTTTGCCGTGTTTGCAGGTCTGCATTTCATCTTTCTCATAGTTAGTACGTGACCATTAGTCCCTGTTGTGTTGTTAATCGGGTTTATGACGAACTCTTATGACAGTGCAATGTAACACCAACAACTTACACAACAATCTGCTGTCATCCACTCTGGATTTGTTGTTTATCAGATCATCAAAGTGATCCGTTTAGATATTGCATTCTCTGCAACGTCGTTATTTTGATATACAGGCTACATTCGGCTTTTCAATACTTTTGCTATAAGGCACTGGTTACCGCATTATTGAAAATAATATTCCTCTTCGAAAGCGGATCTGTCTCTATCTTGTATCCTTATTTTACATTTTGGCCTCTTGGACGACGTCTGCCAAGCTTCGGTTCGCGCACGACAAGCTCAGACGCTGGAGCACATGGTTCATCGTAGGCTTATTTGTCTAACAGGGCCACCCTCTTTTCTTAATCCTCACGTCTATTGAGTTTTCCTGTGCTGGAAGAGAGCCGAGTCATTCCTTTCGTGGTTTTACCATTAAACTCTCACTACGCGCGCGTCGAGGCTAATGCTGCTGCACGGACTTCAACCGTCGTTCTTAGTAATTAATTAAGACAGTTGTCTCCATGTCATACAATGACACCGATCAGCATCAGGTAAACTTGTGGAAAGAGTGAGTTATTCTCAGCCAAATTATTGAACAAGTTTGCAAAACCATTCGAGGCCAAACCGATCTACCTATTTAAATTTGACTGGAGAGTGCCACCGCTGCATATGATGGAGCTCAATCACTTAAAATAGTCAACCTCTTAAAACACGTCACTTTCCTGTTCCACGTGTAGATCAGCTGTGCCGAACAAATTCCTCATAACTTTTAACCTCCAGACGTTAAGGAAAAGGCCGGCTTTCGCAGCTCAGTTTTGTTGTATAAGGAGGTCGTCAGTGATAGAGCCCCCGATGAGTAGTACTCAGCATGACAATATCATTTGTGTACTCCAGGTCAGAATGAGACTCTCCAGAATGAGACTTTTGTCTTTACCAGAGTCAGCATTATTTTGGAGAAGAAAGTCGCGAACGATGTTGAGTAGCAAAGGCGAAAGCACATCTCCCTGGCGAATTGCATAGTTAACAGCGAACCATTCAGATAGTTCTGTTCAACTTGGACAGCATACACGATCTCTGTGCAGCTCTGTACTAAAATAGAAACGATGTGATCAGGAAGTGCATCCCAACATTTTCCACATCGTC